GGAGAGGGAGAGGGAGAGGGAGAGGGAGAGGGAGAGGGAGAGAGAGAGGGAGAGGGAGAGAAAGAAACAAAAATGTCCTGTTAACATAGGAAAATTTATATTTTTAAAATTTTACTCTTTGTAATAAGAAAAACAGAAAAAATAACTTTTTTTGAGGGAAAACGTCTTTGAGAAATGCATGCAGACATGAAATGGCGCACATAAACCTATAGATTTGTACTTACACTGAAGAAAATGTCGAGAAATTCACTGAAGAAATACTCCAATTTGGTTCCAAAATATTACAAAAAGCAGTTCATTTGGTCCCTAAGCTCAAGAATGGAAGGGCTTTGTTAAAGTCGTAGCTGAAGAGTTCACAATTAACAATTTATCCCTAAAAGATTCTCGAATCTCTCAAGTCCTTTAAACGTCGAATCTTTCGGATAAAGGCGAATGAATAATGATAAATTCAGACATTGTGTCCAATGAAAACCCGTGTAGACGATATAATGCAAAGAAATTGAAGATTCTAGGACAGATTGTGCGGTAGTACGAATTATCTGTACTCTGAAATGGAAAAAAAAAATAAAAATAAAAATCGAGCAGTGTTATGTTTTTTATATTAAAGCAACTGAGTTATAAAATACTGAATAACTGGGAAGAAACGAACCCGGGCCGGGGAATACGTATATTTTAAGAGTTTGGGACTGCGAGGACGCTGAATTGCGGATCCTCTGAAGCCGCGCACGCACCTGCAAGCACCAGGAGCCGCTGCCGGCGAACGTGTAGCCCGCGTGCACGAGGTGGCGGTGGCGCGTGAAGCTGGAGAGCAGGTTCCTCACGCACTGGAGCAGCGTGTTCACCTGGGGGTGGATGAGCACCTCCGTCACCAGGTTCTCGGTGGCGTATTGGATGAGGCGCTCGCCTGCAAAAGAAGCCGTCGCCCGTCACCGCCCGCGGGCGCCCGCGGCGCCGCGCGCCCGGCGCAGTGCTGTTACCCCCCTCGCCACCCCACTCACACAAAATGCAACTTTGCTCTGTTCTGTAAAATGCTAAAGGTTGGGTGCGGAATAAAATAATATGTCAAATAATAATGTGTATCATAAATGTTTAGTAAGAAAAGTTATGTCTCAAATCCAATATTCGGGTACGGGTTAAACTTGTAGAGAGATATCATAACCATTCTGAAATGTGCAAAAATCATTAAATGCCTCATTGGGGTGATGACGAGAAGTTGACACACGGTGTCCCCACTATTTCCCACACACTGTCTCTGAGATCTGTTGGAAAAATTGGCGATAGTTGACAAAGCAAGTGAAACACGCCCCCACTTACCTTCAAAGAAAGTACAAAAAAGCAGTTTTCTACAATTGTAAACTCAGTTGAGCGCGACGAGGAATAAAAAATGTATGCAATACTATGTACCACACATACATTGATGAGAAATAGTATGTATTAAATCAATAATCTTGTATTGGCAGAAAGATATCACGATAATTCTGTAGAGAATAAACATATTAAATTACGAAAATCGGACGATAGCGATAAGAGAAGACGGCTGTTGTTCACACTCCCTATCTGCCGATGTGTGAAATAATTAAGACGCAATGCCAAAGGAATTGAACTCTATGCCCATTGTTAAACTGGTGTGAAGGAATATAACATATTGTGGTGTTTACTGAAAAGTCGAATACACTATTTACGCGGGGGACGGTTGGATGAAGCTATATATAAAATAATAATTACGTTAATATCTAACTCAGTTTAATGAAAAAAAAAAAAAAAAGATTTGTGTCCAAATGATCATGTCATCGGCTAAATGTGGAGTAATGAGACTGAAAAACATAAAAATTGAGCGATAACGGGAAGTGAAAACACTGTTGTTGCAGAAGTCTACTCTGTCAATATGAACAGAATATTAAGATTTGTTGGCATAGAAGTTCCAGACATCGTGTGTTCGTACCCTCCAAAATATGAATCAAAGATGATGTAAAGTTGGGTTATGTTGCGTTTAGAATGCGGCGGTGCAACTGGATGTGATGCAGTGCGGTAGTCCCTGTAGATGCAGATGCAGGAGTTACAGGGAGCTGCTGCACCGAAGAGAACATCTAGCTTAAAATATTACTTAGACTAGTTTCGATGGAAAGGATATGTCTGCAAAAAGTGTTCGTGTATTTGTTCAATAGCACAATCATATTACGAAGGTAAGAAAACTTTGATTGTGTTGAAAATTTAAAGAAATAGTGAAAATTCTTTTGATGAGGGAGGAGGATTGTAATATATTATGTAACTTTTGGCAATACAAGGAAGAAAGTAACTGCTAACTGGACAAAATGGACAATTTAAAAAACAACAACTAACTTCTACCAATATTATAGTCGGTTTACTATTGATGTAATTAAATTTATATATATATATATATATATATATATATATATATATATATATATATATATATACACACACACACACACAAAATATTAGGATAGAGTTATCAAATGATAAAATGATGTATTTATTTGTGAGCTATTGGGCTATTTACAGCCCATTGCAGCACACATAGATCTATGTCTTGATATTTTGCAATTTTCCTGCCTATTGCGGAATGGAGCGTGCACATGCATGAAAATGCAAGGATTTTTCTAAACCAATCAATTGAAATAACCATCGGTTCTTCAGCACCTCTGAGTATAGGTCACGCCTCATTACACCATTAGCTGCATATATTTTCAGTTTCATTAACAGGCATTATACTTGAAGCCATTACTTACGTCTGGTGCTTGCACAGACACATTGTAATCCGCTAAGCAAAGGAAAAGATTTTCAGTCGAATAATTCGGCCACTTCTATAGTTCCCGGTCGCTCCCTCCCGCAGCTTCTCTCCGCAAACATTTCTTTTCGCAATGAAGTCCGCCCGAGAGCGAAGCGACTCGAGGGCGTCGGGACTCCGGCGGCCGCCAGGCGCATCCGCGCGCGCTCGCGTCCTCGTAATCCGAGGGAACTATTCAGGGCGAAGAGGAGACTTGAGAGGCTGCGAGGGCGGCGGCGGCGCGGATGAGGGGCGCTGAATAGTTGTAGACACGAGATGTGCGCGGAGGGTTAGCAGCTGCAGAAGTTACAGGCGCGGAGAGGACTATGGGAATGCTGGAGATATTCAATGGGGAGATGAAGGCTTCAGGAAGCGGAGGAGTTGGCAAAGGCGATGGGGGAGGCAGCTGAGTAATTAAGTGGCATGTGAAGACGGTAGACGTGGCGAATTCTGCGACGGTCATAAAATGCTTGAAAACAGTACTTGTTTATCAATTGGAAAGCTATTTAATGTATAAAAAAATGGAGAAGACAGTTGATACTATAGACATGGTAGGGGGCAGTGCATCCATAATCGAATCGGCCAGGTAAGAGGGTTTCAGGAGACAAACAGCAGGAGATGAAGGAATAGGTTAGATATTAGCAGTGAAAAGTGGAGCGAAGATCCAATATTTGCTGACAATAAAGCGAGAGAGACTGTAGAGTGAGTGCAGACGTTGGAAGCATCGCTTGTGGTGCGGCAGTGGTCGTAGATGAAAGTGCATCGCAGTGAGAGAGAGGCAGGGGGACAGATGTGGAGGGCAGAAAAGGGCAGGGATCGATGAGAGTGGCGGGGAGATAATAGAAGCAAGGAGTTCAAGTGGGAGGGAGTAAAGGTTGGTGAGGACGGAAGGATTGTGGGGAGATAATTGTCGGGGGGACAAGGGAACGGGGAATTAGAGGTTAGAGCAGGTTTGAGACGGGAGGGGTGGGGAGACACGATCGGCCTGGGGAGGGAGAGCGGCGAGCGGCGGGAGGAGGGTCTGAGCCCAGGCGAGTGCTGGGAAGGCGGCGTTGCCTCCAAGG